TACTTGTTTGTCTTCCTGCCCTTGTATTACTCACTGCAGCTTGTCTCTCATTTGCTCCCTCATCAGCCTTGTATAAAAGTGCCCCTCAGTCCTGTGTTCCCCAGTCCAGTCACTGACGTCGACCCATACTCTTCCCTGTGCCCTTCTTTAGTTCCAGTCCACCCCTGTTTTGACCGCTCAGAGTCTAGTTTGTTTCCTAATTCCTCTTTTGCCCAATAAAACCCCTTTTTGATTTCCTGAACGCCTGTCTTCGGGTCCTTCGTTCCATTTTGTTGTGACAGACGTCTATTGTCTATCTACTGATAGTCATCTGAAGGATTTACATTAACAGCCTCCTACACCAAGTATGTGTCAAGAATGTATCAGCTGGCTCAGTACATGGCAACTTATCAATTGGCTCAGACAAGGAAACAAAGAACAATAAGACTGATAAGTGCGCTACCATTGCCTGATTCCTGGAGATAGTTTGAAAACCTAGACCTAAAGTGAGGCAGAAGCTTGCTGATCGCAAGTCCTTATGTGGGGGAGAGCCAAAAGTTTAACCTTCTGGTGTATCGGCTAAGACCTATGGATGGTACTGGACCATGGGCGTCCTTAGGTCCGGTCACTCGGGGCTATAGCCCTGAGTATTTTAAGCCGAGCCCTGAGTATTTTAGCCCTGATGCCAATCTTCCTTCGAAAGAGAAACAAGTCAAGCCTCAGGTAAACTTGACTTAGCCCTTGATTTTTTCTCAATAGCTCGAAACTCCGCTGTACTGGACCAGGTAAGGTGATGCATCGCAATCACATTCTGCCATTAGGACAAGAAGTTAGGTGAAGTTCACATTGTAATCTTAAGCGTACTTGTTCTCCCAGAGCCATCGGGCGCAGGAGGGCAAAGGAGAGGAATAGAACTCTTGACGCCCAGAACTAACCTCATGTCTGATACACCTCCAACAAAATATTGTGCTTCGGACTCTGAACATGGAAATTATCCTGAAGACGTGAACATGTGATGGTCAAGACCAATCGACAAAGTACTTGAGATATCGCCCATAGAGAGTGATGAGGCTGCTATAGTTACTGAGGAACCACCAGTAATGGAGTCTGAATCAAACGTTGATGTACCCGTGATTGTAGATGATGAAGTTGGGTTGTTTCTTAATGAAACTGTAGTGAACCAAGACTGTCCAGAGTGTGGGTCCACAGGTGACTCAAATGTGGGAACTTTGGATAGGACCACATGTGTAGTTAAGAGATCTGAGAGGGAAAGAAAATCAACTGAATGGTTTATCTTTCATGCACTGGGGTTACCTACTAAAAAGTCTTTTGTCATGACAAAGCTTTACAATGTGAGATCGGTAGTATAGTATAGTATAGTATAGTATAGTAACAGTATAATAGCTTTCACAATTTTTTTTGCCACACACTCAATGTATGATGTAACCATCTCATTTTACCAGTGGAAAATGTGTGAGCGTTTAGCTGTATGAGTTACTGTGGTGAAATGTTTACTTTAAGTAGCCTATCACAGGGACACTCTATACAGTTAGTACAGGGTTTGTTTTTATATATTTGAGTGTGACACTTAAGTACTTTTATATATTTGAGTCTGACGTTCATGCGTTGTTTTTAAGGGGGTGGCCGGGGTAGACAATGGGTGTTTCTCAATACCAAGAATGTAAAGATCATACTTGTAGCATTTGCAAAACTGGTCTTGCTTACTTTCCTTCCAAGAAGGAACTTGGGGCACAATGAAACATGGGATTAGTCTTATTTGGTGAAAATGCAACCAATGTATCCTTGATATTTGGGGCAAGGCAAGAATGACATCAGGAGATTTTTACCGTCCTATGTGTGACGGTCACAGAGTGACCGCACAGGGAAAGCGTTCAAGAGGGATTACCATTTGGTGCGGTGGGTGTTTTGGTTTCGGTCTGGCAGCAAAAGGGTTCCCTTAGGAAGCAAAGCCTTATTATTTGGTTCTGGGCCTAATTGGCCTAGTCTATGTTCATTATGGCCAGGGGGATGACAGGGGTGGCCTTGACCAAACTACCTCTGTATTGTGTCTTTTCATGTGCTGTAAGGAATGGATTGGTTTTGTACTTATTTAGGAAATTTGCCTATCTGCATATGTAAGAGAGTGTGCTTTTATCTTAATCTTTTATTATTGTCTATAGGGTTAATTGATTTATGTGTTCACTATGGTTTGTAAATGGTACTGGCCACCTGCTATATGTTTGCTTGTCTAGTCTTATGGGTGGAAGGTTTTTTTTTCTCTTTTGTTATGTTGCGTGGGAACCCAGAGGCTCTGCAACTGTTGTGATTTGTCCGTTGCAGGCTAGTGGATGGAGTATTTTGTAATGGTTTCTTGAAATTAAATTTAGTTTATTCTCATGCTGACTCTGATTTTCCTTGGCCAAATCCCCTTCCATTAAACAGTGTCCGTTCGGTAACCATCACACTATGTATCTCTGTTCTAGTGTATTGGAACTGGTCTCTGGCAATGGAAGATGACATAACATGGGTACAGAGTACCAGGACAGTCAAGTATGCATATTGAGAAACACTCAATGCCACTCCTACAATCTGACTGGCCACCCAAGATGCCATCCCAAAATTTCTGCCATGTTATTGGTTTTCACCTTGCTATGCAGCGGGTGTTTGGCCAACATTCCTTGCTTGCCCAGATAACTTTGTGCATTAATAGTCGTAACTCTGGCTTTTCAATATCGCAATGCAGGTTTTCTTTTACGCGTGAACACGTCACCTCAGGAACTCACGTTACACGGCTAACCTGCTCCGGAGCATGTTTCTGGCTGTAATATCTTTCAACAAGCAAGCCAGGCAGTTTTTAATCATGGACTTTTGATGTCAGCAGACAGAGGTGCACACTGATCATTGTGGAGTTTCTAGCTCTTTTGCTGTATGTGTTAAATCTTGTTAGTATCTAAGAAAAGAGGCGATCTCTGCTCTAACAAGATATTGGTTCAGCAAAGTTCAGCGTTTCCATATTCTTTTACGGGCGAATATCCATGTGCATGTCCTGGGTTTGCACAATCCAGTTTTTCAATTCAATATATTTTTATATAGCGCCTTTCACAACAGAGTCATCCAAAGAAGCTGCACATGACTGTGTTGTTATACATTCCTGTATTATTTATGCAGAATTTATGCAGAATTAAGTTTTGTTTGGTGGTTGGCTTAGAGCATTTGACTACCTAGCCTTAATTTTTTTAAATTAACCCAGAAAGAGGTCCTATATTTATTTGTCATTGTTAATGATATTCCACTTGAGTATTACCGCAATAATGATACCGACGACCAACAAGTATGTGTGTGCATTTAGCCTATTAATGTATGTTTTAGCCAGTTATTAGTAGAATATTAATGCATATAAAAATTCTGCATGCTGTCCGCTCACATTATAACACATTAATTGTGACCACCTCTAGACATACCTTCTCCATTCTTGGGCCACTCCAGTTAAAATTTCCTCGAACGGCCTCTGGTGACGGATAAGTACCTTAAAGTGTAGGAAAAAGGGGGGTTACACTTTGCTAATCTGAAGAGGCACCGCTGATCAAGCAAAAATTCCAGCATAAACTTTCGGTTCACTGGGATCCTTCAGTAGACCTTCCAGACTGCCGCGCTGTTGTTCCCTAGAGGAGGTGTGCAGGGACTGTGAAGCGCGCGCCACCAGCCGTCCACTTCGTTTCTGCCCCGCAGCGATGCTAAGTTCACCGATTAACACAAGGGGGCGCAATTTACCATGATTTCACCCGCAAGTCTGCGGGTGACACAGCAACATTAGATGTCGCTGTGGAGCGATAAGAGAGTGAGGGACTCAGTTCATATAAGGCAAGATAGGTTACATTATTTGGATATCCTCGATTCCGAAAGCTGTCATGACATAACAGGTCGTTGCAGTTGTTTTTAATACCAGATATTGTTTTTTTTTTACAATAAGTCCTAAATACTAAAGTCATGCTCCCGTACTCTTGTAAATAAACGAGGAGCGCCTCATGGCTCATTAATGAATAACTTACATTGTTAAGTTATATTTGCATTTTGCAATACCGTTCCGGTTTGACATCATGAATTGTTTATGAATCATGCCGTTTCTTAAGTTGGATCCAGCTAATCGCAGTAATTAAATAAAGAAAACCTTATAAGAAAACAATGGAACTTTTCTTATCTCCGTTACATCTGGACGGATCGCTAGCACTTCTGTTTGTGTGATTAGACTGAGTAGGCTATGTATTTATTTAGCAGTCGCTTTTCTACGGAGGGACAGCAGATAGTACATCACTAGAATACAGCTATCCGGGAGCTAACTAGCGCGGCTAGGCTGAGATTCCGTGAATGACCAGTAACAATGCAAATTAGCATCAGAGCTATACACTACATTACAGGAACAAAAAGCCGGACAGATTGGGCTTTTCAAATCAAAGATACCATGAGGACAAGTCAATGGTTGGAGAATCAAGTTAAAAATGCATTTTGATTATTATGATTTTGGGTTGTAAACTATATGGGATTTAAACAGGCATAATCGCTCCAGGTGAGTAATCAGGGGTATGAGTATGTAGGGATACGGCTGCTCCAGGAGATGTTCCTAATATTTCATCGATAAATGAAACATCATTCGGAGCCGTAGCCTGTATTTAAATGCGAACGCACTTTTTCTGCAGACATCTAATCTAGATTGTATCTTACCCAACTACGCAGGATTCAGTGTTGTGGCGAGTCCAAAGGGGACAAGAGTATCACCTATATGGATAAACATGTAAATCGTTGTGAATTTTCCAAAAGAGCACCCTTTGCATTCGAAATGAACTGAATCTGACAGATAAGTAGTCAAAGATTTCGCTGAGGGGGGGAGCAGCAGCACAGCACCCATTATTTACAACAATCTCCCCGTTTCCACGGAAACATCGTCTCCATTGTAGCTATTCTGAAATGACGAATGGGTTTCATGGCCGCGACAGGTTAAAGAAAACAACACACGTGACACGCGGTAGGGAGAATTCAATTGCTTTATTAATAATTAAACAAGATAGAGTATGTTTCATTGAAACAGGATCAGCAGTTTAGCACCGAGTTTATTTCTCTGTGCCAGGGGAAAGAAACTACATAGCTCACATAGAACAGTCTAAATCCCAGCAGACATCGCAGGGCCCACGTCTAACAGTGAACACGTATGCAGATCCAACACACAAACAACTCCTAGCTTTACAGTGGCGAGGGAGGCTTCTTCTCAGCAGTGTCTAATAATGGCAGGCGCTGGTGTGACGGCCGGCTACTTCTACTACAAAGCCATTATGCTAAGTTGTACTGTACCACTGTTTGTGCCTATGGGGGCGGGGGGGCTTAGGAAATTCCAACCGTTTACCTCCTTTAGTAAATTCACATAAGCAAAACAAAATCCAGCATATATACATTTCACTAATATATATACACATTATATACATATTATATATAGTAAATACATTGTAAATACACCTTTATGGTGTTGCTAAAATAAGTGGTGACTAAGTTTGATGACGGGTGACCGACGTTTTGGAAGCACTGATGTATGCTGTGCGTATACAAAAAAAAATAATAACATTCAAAAACACAGTAGTACTATGAGACAGGGCTGCCTTTTAAGTCACACACTCCAGGATTTCAACCTGGGATATATGCTTCCGAGCACTGCGTCTCAAGTAAAATGCTATCTGGGTGAATAACTGACCCCTTACTCTTCACAGAGCAAGGTAACCCAGTCTTAACGGACTCCCAGAATGCAGTCTTTAAGTACAGTACTGGTTCAGTACACGGCTAGTTTCAAGTAATACAAGTCACGGGTCAGGATGGACCCCATCCCTCTCGCTCCCCCATGCAGTGTTTCCTACCAGACCGTACCCTACATCTGCAGATGTAGTACATCTACATGAGGCGATGTGATGCCTTTCACGCTAAGCTGTCAGCGTGTTGACACATCTCCACCGTGAGTATAATGGTGTGTGTCTCAAGCACAGGGTAACAATACTATATAATGTGGTAATAATACACTAAATATCACTTCATGTAACGCTGACCTGACAGCTAGATGTTCTTGCGGCACATATGGGAAAAACACTGGCATTAACATCTACCCATGAACAAAAGAAAAAAGGAATTTGGAGCAGTCTGGACATTAAGTGCTTTAAATCCAAATGAGTTCTACAGTATTTTTTGGCAAATGTTTACAGTTTCGACTTAGTGTCTATACAGAAACAGCATCCCCAGCAGTTTTGAAGCCCAGTTAAATATACGCTATGTACGGGTCCCATGCCATGACTTCTGGATACTTCCAGTTTCAGGGGGAGGGAGGGGGATTTTTCTGTTGAGATACAACTGACCTTCTGTTTTGTTTTGTTTTTTAAATAGCAACTTCCATATTCAGTCAAGAGGCACAATAAAAAGCTTGCACTGTACCACAACAACAACAATGAAAAAAAGAACAAAAGTTACCAGAATACCATCCATGTGGTCTAAATGAATACTGTACATTGTCAAACACATTCTTTCAGAATGGTACAGGACGCTGCCCAGGGTTGTGCTTCAGTAAGTTTCCAACTGCAATCCTTCCAGTCCCACCTGTGGTCTCCAGAATGTGACCGCCAGCCCGGTGGTTTTGGAGACTGCGGGGGGCAGCTGTGGGGTAGCTGCTAGCACCCCACCCCCTATCCGAGGCTGCTAAGGGCGGGGGAGGGGAGATGTGGCCACTTAGTGACCGACTTCTTTGTTGGTGTTGTGAAACCAGTCCAGCATAATCAGGGACATGCAGCTGATCATGACAACAAACCCCAGGATCAAGAAGAGGACAGCCTGAGGGTAGAGGGAGGGGAAGAAGTGACAATTCAGTCCAGCTGCGCCCAGTTCTTGCCATCAGAACACTGCCACATAGAAATGCCTCAATTTCATTAAAAAAAAAAAAAAAAAAACACACACGATCACTTACCCCGATCTTCTGGATAGAGTTCATTGGCTCCTTCTTCACCAGCTTGATGTAGAATGCAGATGGAAGGATGAAGATCAGCATGCCAGCAGCAGACGCTCCTAGAGATGAGGGAAGACATGGGGAGAGTCAGAGACAAGAAGGGCGGCCCCGTCGGGCAGCACCACGGAGGAGCAGCAGAAGGTTGCTCACCAATGACGCCGAAGATGTCCCGGATGCTGGGCACGAAGATGACGAGCACATTGGTGCCGCCCAGGAGGATGAAGGTGATGATGCCATGCCGGATCCAGCTGAAATCCTTGGAGGCGCAGAGCAGTTGGTTGACAGAGGTGCGGATCTGTTGGGTGGGACAGAAAACAGGTAAGGACAGCCGCTTCGATGGCTACGGGCCAATTATCCAGCCCGAGAATGGTAACCGCTAACTAGGCCAACGGAGGCAGCAGAGGTACGCACTGGGAAGAGCACAACAGGAACGGTCAAGGTGACTGCGGTCAGGACGGCCAGGCGCACGATGAGGAGGACCACGTCGAATTTGAAGATTCTGCGGTAGGTGTGAAGCAGCTCTGGTTCTACATTGCCTGTAGAAAGAATCAGCCTCGGGTCAGGCTAAGTCCAGCCTTCAGAACATCCATCCATCCATCCATCCACCAATCATTTATCCAACACAAGCCCATGGGGGCCCTCCGCACTAAACCCAACATCAACCCAACTTCACCTACTGGCTACTACCTGTGTAGCTGTCTTATCAAAACAACAACAAATAACAAAAATCTAGATGGAATCTTCTGCTCAATGGTAAACATGCATCCAAGTGACTTACAGAAGATATACTGGACAGTCCAGTTTAACTGCTTACATCAAATTGCCCAGGCACCTATATAAATAGTGCAGATATTCAATGGTAGGAGTAATAGACTCACCGTAGAAGGAGAGATAGCCAAACAGGGCAGCCAAGAGGTACATGATGAACATGGACAGGAAGGAGACGTTGGCCACGTTCTGCATCTTCTTACGGGAGCGACTAGGGAGAGGAGTAACGTGTCGTACATGAAGACACTGGAACTGACCACCGATCAACATTCTTTAAATTTTTAAATTCTTTACCGCTAACGCATAGCCTAGCAGTTTCTGATGACTCTTCTTGAGCCTTGCGCTATGAAGAGGACATACTTACTCTTTCAATTCCTCGTACATGGGCAGCACCGCAGGGTGGCACACGAAGGCAAAGGTCAGGATAGGAATAGCATATGCCGTCTAAAAATAAAAATACAGACAATCCATAAAACTTTTAGATCGGTCCGGCAGCAATGGTGACCCCGCATGTCCATTCCCCTGGCGCATGACTGAAACCTTCTCCATAACGCACCTGAGAGTTGTGGACAAAGTATTTTGGCGTGCAAGCATCATCTTCGTAGGCTGTGAGGTTCTGCTCCGAGTGAGAATCAGCGATGCCCAGGGTGACGTTCTCTGAGTCCTTGTTCAGCATGCTGCAAGTAATCTGGAACTTCTTGTAGATAACCTGTGAAAGAATGCCCCATTGGAAATTAGCCTAGTTATGTATCACTGTAGGGTATTTTTCTTTGTCAATTGCGAAAAAAGCCTTGACAGTGAAAGCAGATGGGTCATTAACAACCAAACTCACCACAATCAGGAAGAAGACCATGCAGAGTAAGGAGAAACCACTGGTATATCCAAGGTAACCTGGAATTCCAGTGGTAAATATCATATTAAGTACACAGATGGAAATGTCATCATACATCCTGTTTTTTTCCCCCCCAGACACACCCTGTAATTATTCACACTCTACGTCCTCGGCCAAGTACACACTCCTTCGCAAACTTCTTAGCTGCCTCTGTTTTTGCTTACCGAGATTTCTTAGAAGTGACAGGGGCAAGATGAGCACAAAGGAGACGATTAGCATCAGGTAGTCACCGTTGAGGTACCATTCTCTACAAAACAGATGTAGACACACTTAGCCTGGAACCGCAAGTGACTCACAGCCCTCCAAGGGTTTTGAGAGTCAAAAAACAATAAGCAAATTAAATAATCTGGAACATACCCCGAGTTTTCGTGCATCCCCAAGAAAGCCTGGATGACTTCTGGCAGTTCATACTTCACAATGTAGAGGTAGCTGGACATGGCTGTGGAGCGTCACACAAACGTTACTCTCGTCCAGTGTTTACATAATTACCCTCAATTTTCGTGGAAAAACAGCAAAGCTTGTATCTGCGCATAGTTCTCAGAAGTATAGTATGTGCAACTTCCTTTTTAACCACTATTTTTTTTTTAAAAAAGAGGACTTCCTGCCTCTTGTTTCTGGGGAGTGACTAGGGGCTCCTTACCTCCAATGTTTTGCACGGTGATCGATATCGAAGCAGCCAGTTTTCCAGGCAGGCCGAAAGCTTTGTAGCCCAACTGTTCGTAAACTAAGGCACCTGGAGAGACCACAGCAAGTTTACACTTAGTAACAACAGGCAGAGGCAATAATTAAACAAGTCTTTAATTAACCAAACCATCCTCACCTCCTTCATTGGCCGTTTTCAGCAGCAGGTGCACAGAGTAAAGGGAGAATATTAAAACTGAGACGAGGAGTATCCTGAAAGATTAAAAACAAAAGAGGAGCAGAGTTATTCCCTGGAAAGATGCCCCCCGAGCACTGGGCCCCACAGCTGCTGTACAGGGGAAAATAAGAGCAGGCAACAGAGCACGACCCCCGTAAAGGTCACGCATCGGCGCTTTAACACGTGCACGTGAATAACACCCAGCATTAATAATGCAGGTTATTTCTTGGCTGGTCACATTATGGGTGCACAGCTGCAGGAAATGTTTATCGCAGCCATCAATGCACAGTTTGGCTGTAAGTTATTCAAGTACTAACTAAATACCATTAGCAGTAATCAATATCATAAATATTATAATAACACTATATATACTATGTGTATATATATACATACACTAATACATGGACTATAGTATAAACATATACACTATAATATACATATACACACACATAATAGATGGACACACACTTTAGCATATAAATATATACCTACACACGCATACATACACACACACATATATATATATATATATATATATAAATATACACACTACGCCATCATGCCATCATATATAACATATGAGAAATAATGCAATAATTACTGCCAACGAATTTCCTCAATAAAGCATCTAATATCTAAAAATATCTAAAGATACCTAATGTAAATACATACTGTAAAGGTTTTTTTTTTTGCAATTTAGTGGATAATTGCCCACTAAAGTTCCCCTGAGCAGAACTATCACAGTAGTGAGAGCTTCATCGGGATATCAGGGTGTAAACACTGTCAGCTGCTAGCTGGGGCGTGGAGGATCTGGGCTCTGGGTCGGGGCCCGGAGCCAAAGCAGGGCCGATATGAGGCCGAGCACGCCGGCGATTACGTTTTTCTGTTTCTAAACATCGCCGATGGGTAGAACAGTCCCCCAAATTCACCTAAACGTGCTGAAAGTAAGTCTGAATACAGACAGGCGGCTCCCGCCGGGGATTTCCGGCGTGCCGATTCCTGTGCTGACAAATCAGACCCAAGGTGAGGCACCAGACAGCTAAGGACACTCACACGAACAGGGCGATGCCCGTGTTGGCCATGGCGTAGGACAGGGCCAGGATGCCACTGCCCATGATGGCGTTACCCAAGTTGAAGACGGACATCCCGAAGGAGGTCGTACCAGGATGCTGAAAAAAAGAAGAATTTATAAATAATAATAATAATAATAATAATAATAATAATAATAAAAACAACAATAATAATGATTAGTCACATTTGGAGAGTAAATAAATGATGAGTGAAACCTACATATTCCGTTTCATATTTCTTTTTCCCCAGCTGATGATCATGGAGGAAGTTCTGATTCTCTGCATCACCTTCATCAGGACTAAAACACAGAGAGGGCAGAAATGAAATCAGATATGCTCTGTAAAGGAAGCCCTCCTGTAGGAGGACATACTTCATGATCATAAACGAACAGAATTCTGGCCGACTTTGAGGATCTAAAACTCAGCTCTATGCAGCCTCACCTGCGCATTAACTGTTTTTCCAGGGCAAAATTGTGCTGAGGGCTGCTGGACGTGTCGGGGTTACTGCGCACTGCCGATGGGTTCAGATGGGTCGTTTCCGTCTTAGGTGCCGTTTGGTTCATTCTACGGGCGAAGCGCAGGAGTTCAGGTTCACATTTCACGTCGATCCACCTCCGCCTCTCACATGCATGCGCTTACAATACGTCAAACCCCGGGGGTAACCGAACAGTCAAAGCGGTGTGCCCGGAGACCACGTGACCCGCGCTCAGACTAGGAAAAGGGGGGGGCTGACTCATCCAAGGAGTGGAAAAATACCAGCCAGAGTCAGGCTCCTGACACAATCCATGTTTAGCCGGATCCCTGTATGCTGCCCATTTCCAACCAGTGCCGTTATCGTCACAGCCTAAAGAAGCCACGAGTGTTGACATTATAAATAAAAGGCTAGTTACGTCAGTCAGTCGTGTAAGGAGGAAATATAAACACGATTCCTAAAAACGTTTCCACTGGTATATACCAAATAAATCTGGCATTAAAAAACGTACAACGTGGTGATATAAAGAAGAGATCCAGGGCATATTGATCGCTTGTTTTTATTCATAGCAAGCAAAGCTGAGCGGGATGGACGCGCGGACACGTGCTTTTCCATTAATGCGCAGCATCCCTCGGCGAAGCGCCTTAACTATTCGGCACCGCACTCCTTCCTTTAAAAAGATAGATAGATAGATAGATAGATAGATAGATAGATAGATAGATAGATAGATAGATAGATAGATAGATAGATAGATACTGTGTTTACAAGAAAAAGCACAAAGGCCGGTCTCTATCGAATAGGAGGCATCCCGCCCTCCTCCTCCGTCAGAATGTAAATCATTCAGCTGGACAGTCACAAGACTGCAGCATCGCAGACCTTATTTATTTATTTCAGTTCCTGTCTGACCTACAATTCCGCTCATACCTACTTTGAAGGGCACCAGATAATGCAAAAGATGGTTTTAAAAAACCAAGAAATTATGTGATTTTTTCCCCCAGCTGTATCCAAAGATAATTAAAGATTCTGGACCATTTAGTAGTTAAATTATGTATGGCAACATAAAATATTTCAATACTAATTCCCAAACTCTAGTGTTAAACTGCAAATAAGTCATTTTTAAGCGCGACACATAAAGGTGATAAAAAGCGGAAATAATGCCCTAATAGGCGAGGAACCGGAGAGGAACCGGCAGAAGCCATGTCTCTGTCAATAAAGTGCCAAAAACCAGTTATCTTACCTTACTGACGACAGTAGACAGATTTAAAAATCCTCCGAATGAAAAAATGCCCTTAAAAATACCCTTTTCGTGAACCAAAAAATTTAATTAAATTCACGAAGTGTAAAATGGTGTATTTAAACAGTTTAAATACAATCACTTAAGTTATTATATACAATTAAATACAAAAATACCTATTTAACTAGAGATATACGTTTAAGTTATAATATAAATATTAGGGGGAAACGGTGTTCCCTCGGATGAATGGACCCAGACCTCTCGCAAACGCACTCCGAAGTCGCTGTGTCGATGAGTATCCGGTTCGATGGTTATATCAGCCTAGCTGCGTTGCATCAGCTTCTCGAACCAATAGGGCGGGGCCATGCAAGGCACAGCTAAGGGATGTCTGTGTACAAATACAGAACAATGGACGCCCCTTCCTTCCCTGTCTGCAGCGGTCAGCAGTTGAAACGTACCTCGGGGACATTTACATGTTGTCACCGGACGGTGCATTTGGAAGTGAGCTTTGATGAAACCACGTGTGAAACGATGCTTGTGGGAAATGTGTCACAAAAGGCATCAGGCGTTTAAAAAAAGGCAACTGGTGTGGGGGAATAGACATTTGCGTGGCCGCGCTGTCATATTCATGCGATTGTCGCTGTCGCTGCAATGCCGCATCGTCACGGATTCGTTTCTAAGTGTTTTTCCTATTCCCACCATCCTGCTCTCAAGGAGATCGGACGCGGGGGGTAGCCTCGCCATGCGCCGTATCCACATAGCCGGGTAATGCATCACGACGGCTGCCTGGTTTTATGTCAGGACACCTACTGGCTAGTTTATTGAGGTACAGAACCTTTCACCAACATTGGATAAGACATTTGTGTGAATCATCTATATTTTCTGTTGATTAAACCGAATGCCACTCAACTGCACAAGTCTAACATCACCGCATAATTGATTTCTAGGCAATCTTTTAAAATGAAATGTTCTCTAGGCATGGTTTATAGAAGTAAAACGTGAACTTGTATATTTCAGCGTAATATAATATTAATATTTCGTCAGTCATTTCCAGGTATCCATCCATCAATCAAATGCATCATGGGGGATCATGGTGAGCAATGACAACCTTAATGAACACTGTAAGTGGAGTATGTACTTGATTACTTTAGCAAATTAAACAATATTTGGAATTTGGAATGCTTCTTTCCAAGCTTTTTGATCTGTATAAGTGGTTGATCTATAACCGTGATCACTATAAATGGCTTCCACTGTACTACGTTAGGGGGCCCAAATGACCCCACAATGTGATAAAAATCCTGTTATTTTGACATAATGGGGACCATTTTTCAGTCCCCCCAAGGGAAAAACTCAATTTTATATAAATCTGTGACTGCAATCAAAAAACTAAAAATGCCAAAAGTCTTGTATTTTGTTTGGTTACTGATGGTTAAGGTTAGGGCTGGGTTGGGGTTAAACACTGTCATTCTTTTTTTCTTCTTTTCTTACACTTCACTTTGATTGCCCTACTTTGCCTTGTGGTAACCCGCCCGCTTCAGTCTAGTTAACTGAGGCTAATGCGGCGAGCACAGAGAATATGACAGGAAAAAGAAAGTAATTTTCTTTAACTGCCAAAAATCAGCCAAACAACAATAAGCACTTTGAAACAATGTAACATTGTGAAAATGCGCTGTATAAATAAAATAAAATTGAATTGGCCTATTTATGTACAGTACTGTATTGTATTACAGCGTATGTGAATTATACACAGTTCAGTAATTTAATTTGTACAGCACCATAATTTGAAAAGCGTTTGAAACAGCTGTACTATATTTTGAAATCGTCAATAAAATAAAGTAAATAGCAACCCTATCCCTTTTATTACCTTATGTTCATGTAATATACAAATGTCAATTAGACATAAAGAAGGAGAAAAAAATTGGTTATAATGGTCATCTGCTTATAGTTTCAATTTCAATTTCACCCAGACAGATGTGATCACTATATAGTTTCCACTGTATAGAAAGAACCCATACAGATGCACACGGACAGACAAACAGACATTGAATTCCAGAAAACATGCAAACACTAAAAGGCAAATCAGTACTGATTCAAATAGCTCCCAACAGCAGATATCTGGCAGTGATGGAGCATCTGAACATTGCTGAAGGTTTCCATGGATTTGGATTTGTATGAGACAAGATGCCTTTTACTGCGTTCTTGAATCTTGGTTTCCTGCTGCCTGTTGCATGAGGTGAGGTGTCCTCACCCCTGAGAAGTCAAATGTATCCCACAATGCACCATTACGTGTTTTTGCCCACCAAGCAGGTGCACTAATTGTTATCTTGTTTACTGCATCTGAGTCCATCAGAAATATCATCAGCCGAAACCTGAAATATAATCATAGGCTTCTGTCGACATCTTTGCTCATTCTGCCCTCAAACACAGAACTCCAGTGGGAAACAATCGACTAACCATGCCACAGATAGACAAAAATGTGCTGAATAAGTACACGTGAGACAAATGAGTGGCTGGCTGGCTTGGTAGCATGAGAGGTAAGTAGCTGTAACAAAAGCAAATATGCATATTTGACATGACTCATGCATTTGCTATCGATGTATAAACAAGTGACACAGGAAAACTTCCGTCTGGAAAAAATGTAGCCACTGAATGACTTTCAGTTTAGTTTGATTGTTGAGTTCAGACAGAAAAGTGTGTAGGATTCTTGTAACAATGCTATTTTAAGTGTTCTAATAATCTTCTGAGGCTCATATAACAGTATCGTTTATGTGTTTTGTAGACTTTTGTCAGAAGTAGATTTGCATTTGGATTTTTCAATACATTGATCACACTTACTAATTTTAGTTATGCTGGGTGGTTGTGTGTGAATGTACGTGTCCCTTGATGTACTGGCATCTTGTGCAAAGTGTATCCTGTTGCGGGGGCCTCTCTCCAAACCCTCTCATCCCTGGCCTGGACCAGTGACCATGGAAAATGTTGGAGACATTGTGTGGTCTAGCTGAAAGAGTTAAGATGAATGTAGGAAATGCTTTCAGGTATTAATTCTGAAAGAAAATATATTTTGTTCAAAGGAGGTAAAACACATATTTGAAGATCACAGGCATTCACATAACTACCTGTTAATTCCTCATACTGAAATTCCAGTTAAAATGTATACAGTCGATCCTTCAGCATCACAACTTTCCCCACTGCGGTTTCCATATATCACACAGATGGTCCAGTAGGAGAAACTAAATGAGAATTTTGGGGGAGCTTATGGGAGTTTTCTGAAAGCTGCAGATGACACAAAACATTTAGTAACAAATAAATGCATTAAATATATGTACGGTGCTGGTTTGGAGGACGTGAAGCGTGTTTACGGCAGCCTCTTATGTGATATCTCAATTTTTGTGATATCTTTGTATCTCGCGTTTCTCATATTTTCTTGCATTGTTTTGCTTCACTTGCATCCTGCTGAACCAAAAGGACCAAAAAAATTTACGTGGTTTTTCCAGATCTCAGGGGACCTACATCCCTAACTCCTGCAATGTGGAAGGGTCGACTGCGTAGCGTGATCACATGTTTATTGCGGCATTTCTTTAAATACGTTTCTTGCTTGGAGTGTCTTTCAATATCAATGTTTATCAATGAGTGTCTGTAAGATCTGAATAGTAATCTGCACAATATGCTATTAACAGCATAACAATAACAAATGAATGACAGTTATTCAATGCACCAGATACCTGTCATTCATCCATTAATGTACCAGGTGATGTCAGGGGGTGAAAGTCTCCAAGGTAAAAAGGTGCAAATCAACAATAAATTTCATGCAAACAGGCTTGCTGGTCTAAGCGTAATTGAACTACCCTCATGGCTGAAGTGTACCCTCAGAAATAACTGGGGACACATTGTTCGAAATACAAAAAAAGCAACATAAAAGAGATTCAGTGTGAATATGACACCAGAACGTGGTCTTTGTGCTGGCCGTCCTGAGCTGTGGCAGTCGGCTGCAGCTGCGCATTGTTCCCTGCAGCTGAAGCTCCGATATCATAGACCGTGCCGCGTCCCCCGTAACCAGGAAATTCTTAGAAATAATGGCGCCATTGTCATTTCCTGTGTGCGATTGGCACATTGGACAGAGGGGAAAGCACTCATCATGCGAACGACGTGTCCTGCATACCGAGAGCAAAAAGTAATTTCCCTGCTGACCCCGGGGGGGCCACCACAAACAAGCCACTCGAAGTATTTCCTAAAAAAAAAATGTTTGATTGTTTGATTTCTTTATATAATAAACCTCTGTGTGTAGATAAACCTCTGAGCACATGCAGGAAGTCAGACGAACACTTTGGCAATGTTTTGCGACGTGTGCGAATGTTGTGAATGACGTAAATGTCCTGACTGTATAATGTGCTGCTTTTCCTATCAGTATGGCTTAATGTTGCAAGTGGAGAATTCTCTGGAGCCAGTTGGTTGCTGAGCTCTCATACATGCTGAATACAAAACATTATCCCCCCCAACAAACAAACACACCCAAAGTTAATTGTATTCTGCAGACCATCTACAGAAAATTACCACATTTTTTCCATTGTTTTCCAAAAAAAACCTACCTGACAACACAGAAGGCCAATCCCTAGCATGTGAAAACCTGTTTAATGCAAAACCAAAAATCTTGTTCAGTATTTTAAAACAACATTCCTATGCTGAAATATTTTCAGTACATTAAAAATGAGATCTCCATACTGTATCTTCTTTTTAATCCTACCTTTCCCATAAATCTTAAATGGCAAAATAATTCAGGGGGTTAATAAGAATAAAGACATTCTATTCTATTCCATTCTATTCTAAACTGCCAACCCAGAAAATGCTAAATTCCCAGATGTTTGTTTAATTAAATATAAAAGTGAAATAGTTACCAGTTACAAAAGCAACATATGGGGGTGTATATTACTATTATGATAAATTACTTCATGATAAGCATATAAAATAGCACAGAAAACAATGAAATGTTAGTGGAATTCCTATCTAAGGTGTGGGCAGAGGTACACACCCATTACCCCTGCCCTTAAGGCATCACAGGGCTATGCTTGCTCTTGGAGGCCAAACAGTAGAGTTTCTATGCTCAGCTCACTCATTTTGGAGTCTCATCAACTGGGTGTCTCTTCACTTACCGATTTTACAATCATTTTAAGAACCTAAAGAATAGTTCTATATTCAAATGACTAGAGTACCTGTGATTATTCGAGAGGTATGCATCCTGGGTTTTGGGTATGTCAATGCTGTACAAAACACAAGATTCACTCTTAATAAAATGCTCTTTTCTTTGTAGGTTCTTACCAG